ATCACTGATGAAACCAGACCAAATAGTCATCTGTTATTTATTGATCACATTTCATTATATTTTCTGACTTTTTAAAGCTGACTGACTTCAGCTGGCAATAAAAAACCTAATGTTTAATCCATCTTCATGTGACGCAGGAGCTGATGAGAGTCAGGGTCAGCAGGTAGGGACAGAGCTCTGTGGCTCAGGTGAGTGATGAAGATGATGAAGGTGCTGCTGGCAAATTATGAATGAAATCTAAAATGTTTACTTAAATCAGTATTTATTTTGAATCCATTCTAGACAGTTGTGTGAAGTTTATGACTGATTTAAAGGCAGCATAATTAAACAGAATTTTATTATATTTTGAATAGTGTAAAAATTATGGGCTTATTAAAATTTTCTCTTTAATTAGTAGGAATTGGAAGAAATTGAAGTGGTACCAGGGTCGGAAGGAACCTGTAGACCTATTTTTGCTTTAATAATTACATGCAGATTGACAAAACAAACATTTTTTTTTTGTTTTATTTTATTTTATTTTTTGTCACCATAACACAGTGTTATTTTATGTTCTGAAGGCTGCATGATGCCCTGTTCCTTTTGGTTATGGGTAGACCTATCACTAAATCATAAAAAGTGAAATACCCCTCTAAATTCACTGTTGGTGGTTATCAATATTGCACCTGTTCATTGGGTAAAGTTATTATTAGTTTTAAACATGCAGTTAATGGTCATTTGGCACAATGACATGTTACAATTAAAAATAAATCAAGAATAAACAAAATGAAAGTGAAAGGCACCCCTAAAGTCACTGGATATGTTAAATTGTGTCACATTAATTAACCTTATCTCAGCTGTAGCAGTGAGTTTAAAACAAAATGATAGAACTAGATTAATGAAGAATCTGTCTCTGAAATTATAATTAAATCAAGTGTTTATTTATGTATGTAATTGTATGTTTAAGAACCTGGTAAAATACACCAGAATACAGGAAATGGCATCTATTTCGTTCAAAATTCAATATTTCGTTCACCCCAAACTTGTGAGGGAATGCAAAAGTATTGCAAAGGAATGCAAAAGGTAAATAAAATCCCACGTTTCCTCGCAGGCTTCATAGATTAGTAGAAACTCCTGTTTTCAAGTCATTTATTGTCACTGAATGTAGTTTTTCTTCTGAACAGCAGGGGGCAACAGCAGCTCAACTGCAGTCTGAGGGCAGACACAGGAAGTGACGTCACTGTTAGCAGAAACAAACGTGAGCTGTGTTTTTATGAATCTCTCTACATTTCTGATGAGAGTGGCTCAGATTACAGCTGCTTTTCAGTTTGGATTGAGATAATCTGAGCTTTGTTGGCTTGTTGGTTTGCTTTAGGAGAATGAATGGATGAAACAAGTCACATCTGTCAGTTAGCTTTTGTGTGCACACATGCTGCATTGCATTGTGGGAACACTACCGTGTGTGTTTTAAACTAAAATAAGTCAGTGTGTGTGAGTGTTTGTGTGAACTGCTTGGTTTGAAAAGAGAAGCTGAAGAGTTTCAGCTCCRGTGTTTTCCTGTTTAGTTGTGAGATTGTGGTGACCGTGAGTCAGAGCGGTGTGTGAGTGAAAGACTTCCCTGAGATGGAGCTGAACAACTCATACTTACCTGGCAGGGGAGATACCATGATCAAGAAGGTGGTTCACCCATGGTGAGGCTCAGCCATTGCACTCCGGCTGTGCTGACCTATGCGAATTCCCCAAATGTGGGAATCTCGACTGCATAATTTCTGGTAGTGGGGGACTGCGTTCGCGCTCTCCCCTGATCATGTGTCAAAGATAATGAATGAACACCCTGAAGCTCTAGTTCACATGTGAAACACATGGTTCAATGACCCCCATGTGGCTCGCTGTCCCTCCTGCAAATGTTTTTTTTTTTTTTGCTTAACATGATAATTGTTTCTTATATCAATGGTAAGCTTTGAATTTATGATTAAATGCAACAAAATTAATTTAATAAAAATAAATGAAATAAAAATACTTTTACTAAATTCCTGTCCCTGAGCAGTTGGCTTGAGTAACTGAGCAATTTAGATGGATAGCACAGTATTAATGTCTGAAAATAAGCTGCTTTAAAGTCACCATCAACCATAAACTAAATCTGCCATACCATGGTGGTTGGGGGTGACACAGACATTTAATTATAAAACAGGATTTATTTTATGCTAATCTGAATCAGTTTAGTGTATTTTGTAAATATATTTGACAGTCTTGTAGGAATGAACACATTTATGTTTATTCAAAATAAACCTGCTTCTTATTACTTCTGTACCATGTTTAAWAGAAAAAACTATCAGTAAAATCCTCAAATCATGTCCTGTTTCAAAAAATTGTCTTTGTAACACTTCAGAAGAACTCTTAACTGTTTTAGATAAAAAATAAAACAGTTAAAATGCAATTATCAAAAAAGAAAAACCTTCCTTTCAATTACTGAAAATTATTTATTTACCACATTTCAAATCTGGGCCCTAAAGGGTTAATGCTCCTGAAAGTGACTCTCTGCTGGGCTCGATGGCATGTGACAGAGAGGGGGGAGGGATGTGCTGCWCAGTGGGTTAACAGCAGCTCATTCTGTCTGGATTTATGGTGCTTTTGAGTTGTCAAACAACGCTGGTTACTTTTTTAAAAGTTGAGGGACATTACGTTAGCTAGTAGTTGCGCTGCTGATTAGTGCTATTTTTAGAACAGGCACGGAGCCTCTGACTCCCGGTCACATGTATGTCTGTGTTGGTGATTCTTGCTGTATCTGAGTAATTATTGATAAGGTAAACATGCTGTAGCTTCACCTGTCGTATCTTCCTTGAAAGGAAAAAAAGTAGCTTACAAATCTGTCGCATCAGACAGTTTTCAACGAGCATCACATCCCATATGCCTTGCTATCTTTGTGGGGACTACACACACAGACACAGCGCTCACTGCGCACAAGAACCCGCAGTGTTGGTCTTTCAAAATAAAGTACATCTTAACTTTTCATTGATGTTTAAATAGTGTTTCAAGGTTAACCCTAACCCTAACTGTGATGACATAATACATTCAAAATCAAACGCTTCTTTTGAACACCTCTATAAAACAAACAGCTCCTCAAGATCCAGATCCCTTCAAAAAGCCATTTACCCAATTTATATTACAGAGTTAAGTGTAGCACATGTCATAGTTCAATACTTCACCAAAAGATGGCAGTTTTGAAGAACCTTTATTGAATTTCTCCTCATGAACAACACAGACAAACTGAAACTCACAGGTCTTATTAATGACTAGACCTACCACTCTCACTTATGGTTACTTCTGCTGAACGGTTTAACACAAGTTAACAAAYAATGAACACACAAATTAGAGTAACACAACAGACTAATTGCTGAAAGAGCAATGTTAACCGATTCCCTAAAATGATTTAACAACAACTAACATGAATCCTACCC